TTGCCCTATGTATAAAATGTCTTTACACAGTAAACTCTGCAGTGGTGTAGCAGTTCATATGAAAATGTTCTTCCTATTACTTCTGGCAAATAACTCCATCCTAAAATATTTTCTGGCATTAGAGATATTCCTGGTTTACCATGAGAAATGTGTCCACATTTCAGAATTCGTTACTTCTCTGGAAGCTCTTTTGTGTGTTTGTAGTTCATTAGTGTTTATTTTCTTAAGGTCGAGCCTGTTTTTAAATTTCTGTTAACAATGTTCCCCTGTCTCCAAAATTATCCTTTTATTCAGATACATTATAGCTCTGAAGCCAGAGAGCCTTGGGAACAATAAAGGAACAAGTAGGGGCCCTAAAACAGGTCATTTCAGTTCTTAAAATAATGACAAGGGATGTAACAGCATAACAGGTAAGCAGCACATTTCCTCATGGGTAGTGCTTTTTTCTTAAAGGTTCTTTGAGAAGGATATTTTATTTTTAAAAAGCTATAGCAAATTTATCTTATCTTAGAAGCATTGGGAAAATATAAAAATTACTAGAAATAGTCCCTGATCCTGCCTACAAGGGAGTGCTGAGAAAGAATCAGAGGAGTTAATATCAGTGAGCTTCCTTTATGAGTAGGAAAAGCTACTCTCCCTATCGGACATAATGTCTAAATGAAAAAAAAAAAGGTGGGCAGAGCAGGTCTTTATCAGATTTTTCTGTACATTTACTGTGATGGACACTAGGGCCACAAAGATGCTGAGGGGCCTGGAGCATCTCCCATATGAGGAAAGGCTGAGAGAGCTGGGACTCTTCAGCCTGGAGACGAGAAGACTGAGCGGGGATCTTGTCAATGTCTATAAATACCTGAAGTGCGGGAGACAAAGGGAGGGGGCTGGGCTCTTTTCAGTAGTAGCCAGTGACATGACAAGGGGCAATGGGCAAAAACTGGAACACAGGAAGTTCCAGGCAAACCTAAGGAAAAACTTCTTTACTGTGAGGGTGCCAGAGCCCTGGGACAGGCTGCCCAGAGAGGCTGTGGAGTCTCCATCTCTGGAGATGTTCAAAACCCACCTGGACATGTTACTGTGCAACCTGCTGTAGGGAACCTGCTTTAGCAGGAGGGTTGGACTGGATGATCTCCTGAGGTCCCTTCCAACCCCAACCATTCTGTGATTCTGTGATTCTGTAAATAAGGACATCTTGGGACTTTCAAACTAACAGGTGAAATGGTAGCTGTCTGTCTAAGAGAAAACACAAAGCAGTGGTGTTATTTGGAGCTCTTCAGTGCTCTAATGTGGTGAGCCAACGAGGCACTCTCAACATTTGCAAAGAGGTCTCCTGGTAGACCAAAGGTTTCCTGGCAAAAGATTATAGTATGGCACAAAGGAGCACAGCAATGGTACCTGCTGACTTACAATGAAAGGAAGAAGTTGGGGCTGAATTCTAAACAACCTTCTAGTGTATAAAATTTACAAAGATCAGCATAAAATACCTGAAGACACTGCCAGAGAGGAAAGCAATCTGGAAAGATAACTGAGAGTAGTAGTGAATAAAAGAGGGAAAAACATTCCCTTGTGTTGGGACCAGTGTCTCTGCTAGATGGAGAATTACTTTAGATCATGTCCAGAAAACATTAATATTATTTAAGAAGAAAATGTCCCACCAGCAGTCATCACGTCTGACTGGTGATGTGCACATGCAGCCCAAGAGCTTGCAGGAACCCATTCAGAATCAGGAAGCCTGACCCTTTCCCTTGAGCCACGCCAGGTAGCTGGATAGTGACTTAAAAGCTCTAGGGCATTTTAGCTTATTTCCTGATCAAATTTGTAACTATTTTCTGTCTGAAAGCAATTTCCTTGCCATCTGCAGGATTAGCCAAATGGTTTAGTTTGTAAAATCATGATCATTAATGATATGCTGGATTTTTCTGTGGACAATCCAAAAATTCACCTGTAACCAAGACAGACCCTGCAATGAAAGCGCATTGTCGTTACGTAGGTAGCGTAAGAAGTCCCGCTTCACCATTGTATGTTTTAGTAACTGCTGTTCTTTAAATCTGAACTTCGTTACATTTTATGATACTTTATGATCTTTTAGGGTTCATAATGTTGCTTTATCTTCCAGTCATGGGTGGATATTATATTTTAGACACAGCTCAGGGGAAATGAAGGGACTGTTTAGAAAGCTGAATCAATAAGCTGTCTGCGGGCTTTTTTCTGCATGGGAGACGTTTCTGGCTGCCTCAAATGTCTGTGTTTTTTCATTGCTTGTAAGTGAATATTAATTTTCTGGATTTCCCCTTTCAGAAGAATCTTTAATTTGCTCTCCGTAGCAGAAACAGGAATTTCCTTGTGGATCATATTTCAGGGTGTTTGTATTTATTTATACACGGATGATAAGAAGGCAGTCACAGTGCAGGGCAAGGACACATCGTGTTTTCCTGCAAGAAACAGTTCTGAGAATCTGGAAATACTGAAAGGTGTATCTCTAAAACCTTCTACACCATAAAGACATTTTACCTGTAAGTATTAATGCAGTTTCTTTTCCTTATCTTGGTATTATATTTTTTGAAGTTTTGTAGTAGGTTACATCTTAATAATTTGAAGCATTTTATTTGCATTTTGACTGTAGTGCCTCATTACATTTCAAAAGGTTGAAAGCAATCAAATCTCTTAATGCCAGGCATACAAAAATCTGAGGGGGTATAATCATAGAATTGGCACTGTCTATTCTGAATTAGACAGAACTTGTTTAAAATGTTGCTTTCCATTGAGGAGAAAATACAATTAAATGCAGCAATTAAAAACTTCTTCCCAGAATGCAGAGTGAGATAGCACAACTGTAATCTGACGGGGTTTTTGTATTCCCACCTGCAAATCTTGACTTTTATTGAAACCTAGAAGAGACTTTTATCCTGTCATAGGCTCTTGGAACATTGTTTTGCGAGAATTGTATCATTTGCCAGTCGCGATGACTCTGTCAGTCATGTTGAAAAGAGCATTACATTACCTTTCTTTGCAACCCCAGGCGTGTGCCTGTACTATTGACACTAACAATTTGTCTTTGTGTGCAGTCATTTTTGGTTTTGGAAATTGCTTTTTTTTTTTTTTTTTGGTAGGCAATAGATGAAAACCCTCACAGTAAATTTTATAACAGTCTGTCAAAGCATTTGTGCAACAAATCTTTCTCCAAAAAAGGCAAAATTGCAAAGGTTAAAAAAAAAAATACAGGTAGAAATGCTCTGCAGAGATCTCCAATGGACATAAGTTTGCAGTGGACCGTACTTATTTTCAGCATGGTACTGCCTGGAACAGGAGGTGTGGAAGTTTATAGCTTTAGTCCTGTGTTAGAGGTAAAATTTTGTGTATAACCCACCCCATGTCAGGTAAGTGAGGCCAGAAAATAACCAACCATTTCTGACCACCACTCCTTCCCATACCATGTTTACTTCTGGCACCATGGAGTAAACCACTGAAGAAAAAGAAGCCAAGAAAACTCCTTAAACCTCTCAGTCCAGCCAGGGAGCTCAGCAAAGAACTAGAGAGCAGCACTTGGAATCCTTCAGATTTTTCAGAAGAGGCTTTGCAGCTTCAGGTGGCACATGTGTTGGAGGCTGTGTAATCTCCTTGCAGCTAACAGACAACTTCAAGCCAAGTTAGTAAAAGGAAAGGATTTAATTTTGCAAGGAATGAGAGCTTTGGAATAAGACAAAGGGAAACTTTTGAAAAGTTTTTAGGTCCTAAATGAAGTTACAAACAGACATGGTATTACAAACTGGAAATGTAATTATGTGAGAGAAACTAGATTTGATTTTAAATAAACAAGAAAGCAATTGTGAGGTAATAAAAATGTGTCCAGTGTGCAAAATGTAGTGCCGTGCATGCAATAATTTGTCAGGTGTGTAGTATTCACATACAAATTGCAAAGAAAGAGCAGTACTTTGGAGGTCTGGCTCTGTTATCCTTACACCCAAACAGTGTTTTTGAAGGAAAGCACCAAAAGGCAACTTAGCTCAGAAAACCCCAGCAGAAGCCCACTAACCAAACCCACCTTTTGCCTTCTAAATGCTCCATCTCTGTGTTCTTGCACTTATCAAATCCCACAGAGCACTGCCTGTGTGTTTTGGTAAAGAGTTATTTAGCAAAACTTCAGAGAAGTCCATGAAAATGTGTTGCTGTATTGTGCTTCCCTGCCAGCCTCTATTCCTGTCTCTGCCACAGCCTGGCTCTGCCAATGAGCACGTTATTTAACTTCTCAGGGTTACAGAGAGATTCCCATTTCCCTGGTAACATTGATGGAGATATTGCAAAAATAAGTTGACATAAGTAAAAACAGATGCTCTCTTTTACCCCTCTGAAAAATCATAATACTAATCCACTTCTTAGAAAGCTGTGAAAATTCTTTAATTGCTGTTTATAAATTGCTCTGAGGGCATTGTATTAAGAATGCTACAGACTTGCAAATTATTCTAATTACCATAGTATTATGATTAGATTTTCTAAATAGATTTTGAACTCTTAGGCCAAGCTATGCCTATTTTACACAGGGCCGATCACACTGCTCAGGCAGTGTCAGAAACATATGTGGGATGATATATTCCTGGGTTACAGGTGTTGTGACTAGTGCAAAGGAAGGGGCAAAATGAAGTTCTGTTGGCAGGTCTCACCATTCCTGGGCAAATCATCTCTTTGGCCTATATAATTTAATTTTTTTATTATTCATACTTTATAATAATATAATAGAATAAATATATTACAATGTTACAGCATATAATATATTATGTGTAATAGTATACTTAAATGAATAATATTATAATTATATAGTTTATTGTATATTTTTCTATGTTTATTTTATATAGCTTTAATCATCACTATGAAAAAACCCACTTGTGAGATATTTGTTATTTTCTCAGGCAACTGTGCATGCAGTGAAATGCTGCTTAGCAAGCAAAGTGGGAGGAATTAGCTTCAAGGTTTCTGCTCTCTTTACATTCTGGGTGGAAGAAACAATCAGGATGGCTTCTACAAGTAAAAGAAATTCTGCAGGTACAAAATTTCATTTACTAAGATTTGTCAGTAGTAAGGTTGAATCTGTTTTCAGTCCATTCTAATCAATATATGATACCATTCTCTTTGCCTTCCACCTGCCAAGGATTTTGTGGTAAACAACAGGTAAAAAACAGGGGGGAATAGCATACTGAAAAATTTTGAGATCTCATCCGGACTTACACTGTGTGTTAATTCTGCCCCTCTGCTTTCTTCCTTAAAGAATCTACCTAAATGCAGCATTTCCCTTCATAGCAGAATTTTTTTTGTGCCCAATGCAAAGGTTGAATTGACATTTTTAAAAAACACTAAAATCCTCAAAAATAAACTGGGAACTGGAAGATACAGCTGGTATCTCCAAGACACTGATAATGAAGCCTTACCTCCACTGTAGTCAGTAGTAAATGGGATTTCAGAACCAAGCGTTTCTTGCATCACCACAAAGTTTGGTCATGTTATATTTCCCAGAACTTATGTGTATTCTCTACTGTCTCTTACTAGAAGATCCAAAATGAGGTTGACTGTGCTCCTTTCAGTCACTGGATTCTTAAAAAGTCTGCTTCCCATACATGGTTTATAGCTTAAAAATGGAATGAGGTTGCCACTCTCTTCACGGGGTGTTAAAGTGCATTAATAAAACTGAGACTTTGGTAAGAAATCCACCAGTAATGAGAGAATGGGAATCTTAACTACAGCTGGCCACAGAGTGTGCAGGGTTGTGTATGAACATATGCATTCAGGCATTTCCCCCCCACCCCGAGGTTTTAGTTCATATTTTACTTGTAAGACTTTTTCCTGTTCTCACATGATGTTTTACAGTGTAAGATGATTGATCCTTAGCTGTGTTTGCAACTTAACCAAACTGAGTGCCATCTACAAATTTAATTAGGGAGCTGCTTACTGTCTTTCCAGTCACTAATTGTGAAGTTCAATAAGACCAGACTCCAGATGTTAAATAAGGCCAGTGAAATAAGACAGAGGCTTATGATATCTTCTGAGCTCCCTGCATTGTCACTATCATTTATTTAGTTTGGGCCAAGTGTCAGCAGTAACATTGACAGCAGGGAAGCATGGCCTGGGCCCTATATTTTAGATCCTTGTTGTGTGTTTGTCTTCTCTAATTGTAATGTGCTTTATGGCCATTTAAGCTCAGAAACCCAGAGCTCAGCAACAATTCAACAGTTGCAACGGTTCAAGCAGGTCTTTGTAAGAGATTAGTTGGCAACAAATTGAGTAATGGTGCCATTCATTTCTCTTTGATTAGTGAGAACTCAAAATATGTTTTGCCTTGAAGATGGAGTCTGCAAGCATGGATTCCTCATCAAATCACCACCTCTTCAGCTTTTTGGCTCACAGGTATACTAGCACAGATTAGTCATATTTCAGCAATCCCTCAACAAGCATCTGTTATTTTTGCTATCATGAATTTTAATGAGAGAAAAATTACTTTCTCTTTGGCAGAATTCCTGGAAAAGGCGTTTTTTCATCCTGTCTAAATCCAGCAAGGGCAATTACATCTTGAAGTATCTAAAAGGCCAGAACACAAAAGGCTCCATAGCTATTGATCAGTATGTAACTCTAATACATCACCTTTTTATTTTAAGTCATGTATCAACACTCTTAAAAGTGCCTGATTAACAGACACTTATTCCTGATTGAGGTTCTTGATCCAAATCCCGCTGAAGTCCAAAAAAAAGTTCCTTGGGCTTTTGTAGGCTTTGGTGCAACTTACAGTGTATTATATATGCAGAAGTAAAAATCCTAAATTGCTTTGATGAAATTTGAGACATTTATGTGAATGATTGTGGTGATGTGGCATCTGCAAACCAGACATCTTCACTCCGTGATCCCACAGACTGTATTCCTGTAGTAGAAGATGCTTTATGTCCTGTGAGGACATTACTATGCATTCACTCACATGGAAGCATGGATGAGCTATGCCACTACTCTTAACTGTGGCACACCATCTCTCACACCTTGTGGCTTTACAAAGTGCTTTGCAAGTTGTGCAGAGGTCTCCTGGCTTTCACATAGCTCTTTGGGCTGATGCTGGCTGCCCCAATGCCTCTTTCTCCACTAAGAAATTGCTCTGCTTGGCTTGTTTGGGTTGGTCATTTCATTTCTCTCAGCCCAGTGCCCTCTGCAGCAAGGTTGGGTGTCATTTGCTCTGTACTAGCACCCTTTACCATGCCACGTGTAGTACAGCATACATAGAAGGGAAACAGTAAGTGTAAAGGGATATGTAAAGATTTTACGAACTAGACCTGGTAAATAGCTTCATACTCCAGGTTCCTGGAATTGTTAGGCATGGAAGTCACTGGACTCACTGTGCTGTTGTGCTTCTTCCATTAAAATGATTTACATTGTGAAGCTGTCAAAAAAATTCCAGCTTGCTCAGTGGCATGTCGTTCCATTATTACCATAATTATTGGTGTTATTATTTTTACTAATTTAACTTCTTAGAAGTTAATAGAAGTAGTGCTTCCATTTAAGTATCCATTAAGAATACTTGGCTGTTCCTCTTTCCGCCATTAAAACACTGTTAATATACCATTTGTTTCAAATCAAATGTATTATTCTGTGGTGGTTCAAAAACATAGACCAGGAATTTTTCTTACTACAATTTCTTTTCAAGATTCTGTGTTAGACCAACAGCCCCTCTTTTCAGAAATGAGGATCCAAAATCTGGATGTGAGTCTTTGCAAAAGTTTATTTTATTTTTTTGCTTGGAAGTTTTCTTTATTGAAAGGCCATCTGTTTTGAATGTGTACACTTATTTTCTTGAGAATTTTTTCTATGGAAAAAGTTTACCTTTTCCCATGCAGATCTCATCGTATTATGCTGTGCTTAGAGTAAAATATGCACATGCACACACACATATATATGTGTGTGTGTATATGTTTGTATGTATGTATGTATAGCTGTATAGGATATTTCATATCATTATCTCAACAGAATCATAAATATTGAAGTTGGCATAAGCAATTCTGAAATTATGGAAACGGTGAGGAAGATGTTTAAATGCCTTCCTGAACAGGTGATGTCCCTCAGTACTGGAAACAGATGTTACTACCTCATTGGGAGCAGCAGGTAGGCATAGCAAGACGTGCAAAAGCAACGTGACATTACAGTTAAGTTAATGTAACACTAAGCTGCTGTCCCAAGGCAAGGTCCTGCTCCTTCACAGCCACTCCCATCCCTTCCTGTGTCTCAGCTACTCGGCTCCAGGATGAAACGATTCAGCTGCTTGATCCAATGGAAAACTGCTCTTTTCTATGTCATTGTTTTCCCCCCTATGGCCAGGTTAATTTTTTGCTAGTTCAGACAGGTGAACAAACCTTCCCTGCAGCCTCACTGTTACAGCGTCCAACATGTGAAAGTAGCGGGAGCATGAGGCTGGGAGTGGGGATGGCAGTGGCAGTACGTCAGTGTGGCAGTGCCATGTCAGACTGTACCGGTTAGGGGTCAAGGAAGAGCAGAGAGCTTTGTCTTCTCACCCAGCAGCTTCTGGGAGTTAGGAAAGCTTATGCTCCTTATGGATAAATCACGTGTAATAATCTTGCCCTGGAAAGCAGGTTGTTAATCAAGGGAAGGAGACTGAAGGGGGAAATTCCCCTGAGGAAAAGTACATCCCAAAAAGAATGAGTGGGGCCTTTACTGCAGCAGGGTGGTGAGCTCCCTGCTCTGCCAGGCTGCAATCCAGTCCTCAGCAAGGGCAGAAACTGCTGCTGTCAAGGTAATCAGCCAAAGCTGGGTTAGGTGAGGGAGGACATTTGGCACAGTGCTCCTGGGCTGCTGCTTCCCAGCTTCTCCTCTTCAGTTTCCCAGCCACAAGTGCAAAATCAGGTGCTTTTCTACCATTACGCAAAAGAGCAGCTGATGTGTGAAATGCTGATAAGCACAGAAGAGAAACACATACCTGGTAAACAACACATACCTGTGTGTTACTTGAGCGTACCACACACGCCTTCCCCCAGGGTACTGCTCTCACAACCTGTGCTCCCTGGGAAATGTTCTAGAATTAATCCAACTAAATCCACCACAGGCATGAAAGAGGGCTTCAGGGGTCCTTTCATGGCATGTTTCTCATCCTGCTTACCCAAACACATTCCTAAGCCTTGTTAGCCCTCTTTATGGCAGGACTCTGCAGAGCAGCATTACACACAGAAGATGAAGCAGAAAGCACCTCTGTTTCTCGTATACTTTTTAGCTCCCAGTCCTGAGCTGCACCTCTCAGGTCAAAATTGGCCATCTGGCTATGGCCGCCTGAGCACTCTCTTGAAAGGAAGGTGCAGATTTTCCCTGTTGGTTCCAGGGAGCAGGATTTTGGGGCCCATAGGAAGAAGTGGGTAGGCAAATGGATTTTCCTTGTGTTTTACCTGTGAGTAGGTTTTCATTTCTGTTGTTCCAACCTACAGAGAGGAAACAGAGGACTGGGTTGCTGTGATATCTTCAGTCTGCAGTGAGGCCAATAGAGGTGGATGCTGCCCTCAGGTGATTTGTTACTGCACTTGATGTTAGAAAGAAAGAAATTTGTCATTTCATGAGAAACCTGTGCAAAGCAGTTTTCTTGATACTGGTCTTACAAGTTGGCTCTTGCCTGGGTTAATCAGAAATCCATTTTCCGTTTTAATGCTGTACCCTGGCTTTATGCTTTAAGCAGGCATTGGACAGTCTGTCTGCCTGGGATTGATTTAACACTGAAGGAATCTCTTTGAAGAGTAGGCCATGAGGAAATTAGGACATGACTGACATTGTGCTGCCATGAATTGCACCTTTGATGCATCAGAATGAACACTTGTGTGTAATTCTTACCATGTGTTTTTTGGTTATATTTACATGCTTGTTTTACAAACCAATCCACATCTAGTCTGTCAATGTTATGAACCAGCTGGAAGCCCTGTTAGTTCAAGCTCAGGCCCAAGTTTCTGCACCTTGTCAGCCAGCCAGGGCTACTAGTTCAGACTCAGCACTAAGCTACTTACATCCCTGCAGCTTCCAGTCAGCTCAAAGTGCAAGCAGGGCAAATTTATGTCTGCCTGAAAATACCAGGCAGACAACCTCTCTGAGCCATTAGAAGTAAAATTTGGACTAGTGGAAGGTGTTGGTACATTTTAGCCCACGCCCATCAGGTGCTTGTCTTCTTACACTGCTGTCATCTCATTTCTAGAACCACGATCTTCCAAATCCAGAAGTCAGAAGCCGGCCTTCCTCTTTGCCACTGTTCTTGAATTCTGTAGATGCAACCAGTTCCCCGGAAAGGCAAAACTACCAAAAGGTAAACAGATTAGCTATCCTTAATGAGTTTGCTCCTAGGGATGACTGTGAAATTTGATTTGAGTAGTTGTTTTTTTTCCATCAAAAGTTCTTCAAAGCTTGTGCAGTGGGTGCCTGTGTGGTCTGTTCTGCTTTCTGATGGGGTTCCTGAGTAGGACCTGACTGATAACATCAGAGAGTCCCCACAGAGGAAAGATTTTTGCGGAAATTCTGCATGTGAGTAAAGTAGGTGTTGATAGAAATGAGAAATGGTTATTCATTGGCTGTCTCAACTGGGTGGCAAAAATTAGTGGGCATGAAGTAAACCCCTGAAGATTTGCTTTGACATGCCTTGGCAAAGCCATGTGATTGTTTTGGCAGCTGCTAGATACATTCCTCTTTTGTGATTGTGCTTTTCTTTGTCTCTCTCTTCAGGCTGTAAAGCTTAGAGGGGAGTTCAGGTCCAGTTTGTTGGTGCCTTCCAGATCTTCCCCCTCAATATTTAAATAGAAAGGAAGGAAAGCAGCTCTGCTGTCCCAAAGCAATTGCAGTCCCCCTTCTCTGATGACAGGCTGAATAGCAGCCAAGGAATTGTTGGTTTTCTCTAGTCACAAAGCTGTGTGCAAATGGTCCAGCTGGAGGAAGCAGGTGAAGCACCTCCAGTGAATTTTTTTTTCTTTTGTACACAGGAGAATGATTTCTCAGAAGACAAGAACAGGCCTAATTCAGATCCTGGCCCTCATCAGACTCGGTGTGACTCACCAAGAGGAGTTTTTCCAAGCCCGGTGAGCGGAACAAATCAAACAGCTCTTGAGTTGTTCAATTTGCAGAAGTGACTATTGGCTCATGTCTCACCTGAGTATCTGTATAGATTATCCACCTACTTTTCCAGCACACTTAGTTTTCACTATGAAAGTTTCCTAAATATTTAGTCTATTGTCTTGTTTAGCACTGAAAATAACCATTTAAGAACTTGCTTGAAATACCTTCTGCTTAATTTGCTTATTGGAGGCAGATCCTCAGAGTTTCTGTGCAGCAATTGCAACTTGTGGCAGCTCTCACAAACTTGATCAAGAAAACTCAAAATCAAGAAGTTGCACTGCCTGAGGATTTGCTACTCCCATGACATTTCTCAGTTGTGCCACAGTCTTCCTAAATGGTTTCTTTCTGCAGCCTCTGCCAGCAGCAATTAAATCAGTGTAACTGAACTACAGAACAAAGGCTTCTTAAATGGAGGCACACCTCAGGACTGACCTTCTGTCAGCAAAAATATGACTTCAAGTAATTTAGTTTCCATATCTGACAGAAATGATTTTAAAAGATACAATGATGAATGTTATCATGTATTATTGGGTAAATGTTCTGACCTGTGTTCTCTGAACAAACACCTGCAGCAGTTTCGGATGGTTTTCACCCATCCTCTGCCCTGGATTACTACCTTTGCAGCAGAGTCAACAGAACAGAAGGCACAACCAAAGCTCCACCACACCAGTTTGGCAGCTGAGTTTAAGCCCATCTTTACTGGCATTTTATGCATTGGACTATGATCTGGAGTGGCTGAGATACAGGGAAAAGAATCTGTTCTGCTATCATAGCTAACAGGGTGGTAAATCATGTGCTGCTGTCACCATCCATGTATAGAGGCTGGCAGCGAGTGTGAGATAATACAGCTAAATTTAGTGGAAAGAAGTGAAAATAGTTGAAACTACATTGCAATGCCATGGGCAGTTAGCACAGCTCAGCTGATGCACGCTACTTTATGAAGCTGCAATAATTCAATTGTGAGTCTGAGCTCTGAAATGCATTGAGTTAACCCTTAGTCTGATTTTAACTAGTGCTGCTCTGGATGCATACCAAGGCTCTCTTTCTGTCTCTTTCTTATGCCTTTTTTTGTCTCATTCATTAATTCTTCTCATACTTATGATGCCTCAGAGAGCATGTATTACATGCAGCTGTTTGGATTGGGACAGACTGACCATGAGGGTTAAAAGATAAGGAATTTGGGTTTTACCTTTTTAGCCTGAAGCCGGGGGAACAATAGGGAGCTCATATTTCTGTTTTAACATGTGTGAAAATAAATAACCTTGCCATAGAGCTAACAAGAAACAAAAATGTTTGTTCATTCAGTAAAAATATTTCACTTGCCTCATAAGTTGAGCATCTGCTAATATCTCTGCATCTATTCTCTGCTCAGTGATGTCTAGACAGCTGACTTCCAGATTAATCCCTTGTATTTGCTTCCTTTTAGAAGTATGACTCCACATTTCTAGCATGTGATTTGTTTTGCTTTTTATCGATGGCTCCCTCATCCAGACTCAGATCTTGAAAACTCTTTGGTCAGTAGCCATTACTCACGCAAACAGACCTCTCAATGTCAGCTGAGTCTAGCATCAGGGACCCTGGAGAGGTCTGGGGACTTGGCTTCCTTTCAGCCCACCTTTTGGAGCTACCAACCACATCTGACTCAGCAATTCAGTATGAGCTATTTTGGTACACAGCTTTCAATACCTAAAATACATCAAAATAAGGAGCCCTGACTTGCATCAGCCTGTACTGCACATTACTGTACTGAAGGCACCTTGACATTCTTGTTGGGATCTGATTTTTTGAAAGAGAAGTTCCTCTGTCCAAGGGCAACATATAACTTTCCCTAAGGAACCTATAACTAACAATTACTCAGTTGTTCTCCAGGTATCGTTTTGATCTTGTGCTACGGCCAGTTTTCTCCATAATCTGTTTTCTCTCTAATGTAAATCCACATCATGGTTCAACAGAGGCTTAAAGAACTTGTTTAGCTGTACAGTGAGAATAACTGTACACTGAGGTTAACCTCACTTCTCTGGTGGTAAAGCACCTGAAGGAAGGGAGGTGTTGGCAAACTGCTTTAGGGAAACGCAATGCTGCTGCAGCTTAACCTTCTCCTTTCCATTGTCCCTGTAATCTGTGATGGTGCCAAGGAGAAACACTATGCATTTGGCAAAAGTCAGCCACTGGCAGTGACTGAAGGCTCAGTCTGGGAAGCTGAGGAGTGCTGTCTGCTCTCTGAGATTTCCTAGCAGTTGGAGGGTCTCAAGACTTGATAAAATCTCCTCCTCTTCCACCTTCTTCACAGGTGTTTACTTGGTTGATTGATCCAACGCCCCTGAAAAGTCTCTAGTAAACTTGTACATGATTTTAGGTCATCACCACAAAGCCAGTCTTGTTCCTGCTGTGGTTTTGTTATGCACTTCTTGAAAGACCATTGCAGGTTTGTTCTGACTCCTACTGCATGAGTTGGTTTTTATGTCATTTATACCAGCAAGGAACAAAAATACATTCAAGAGCTTTAATTTCTATTCAATGCCAATTTCCTCTCTTTACATGCAATAGAGTAATTAGTTTAATATACTTTACCTTGAAAACAGTAATATATTCTGTGGCATATTTAGCAATTATTAAAATGATCACCATGGAAACCAAGGATGTAAGTGAAGAGATGAAAAACAGTTGCATCACAAACATGGCATGGAAAATTGCATTGGGAGGCAACTAAATACTAATTACCATATTCTTCACTATAGTGAAGTCAACAAGGAGACATAAAAGTAAATAATTTGTCTTTGTGACTTAGAAAGGTAAACTTGGTGGAGGGATTAATTTCTCCTTGACTTACCAAATTGCCACAAACTTAGTATTTCAGGTATTTATGAAGGCAGAATATCACTCAGGACACAAAGGATTCATTTTCAGCTCTCCAGCCCTCCAGGGTATGTCCTTGTTCATGGAGAAGTATGAGATAAGAGACTTCTCATCAGTCAGGGAAGTCCCAATTTCATTCTTTACTTGATAACAGTTGAAAGGTGCTTAAAAAGGACAAATATATCCTGATCCACTTCAGATTTCATACAGATTTTTTTCCAAGTGTAAGAACTGAAAGCAAATAAAAAATATTTTCCACACAAGTGATCCTAAATGCATGCAGATACATACATGAAGTGTTTAACCCACTTGATTTTTAAACAGAATAACAGATTGTGAACATGCAATCAGTTCCAACTGCCTGGCGACCACAAATCCTTCTATGGGAAGTACTAATACCAGTGGTCAGTTTTGTCCACGTGCAGTGGATCTCAAAAATACAAGGAGCACAAATATAGAAACTTTGTTTCTGAAACAGACTGGCTCTGAGCATATCTCACTTCAAGGAGAAACGGGTCTTCCCATCTTTTCTGTGGATATTTGCTGATTCTATTACTTGTCCATGTAAATGGAAAAATACATGTTAAACAATTTGTATAACTGAACTTGCTAAATGCAAAACCATTCTTTTAACAGGATAAAAATCTAGGAAAGAGTGAGGAAAACCTGCTGTCGTCAGATACAGATGAAGACATGAAAAAGGATGAAGAAGATTATTACCAAACTCCCAGCAATATTTTAGCAAAGGTAGTTTATCAGTTGTGAGTTCTGCTGGTTGTTTAACAGCTCCAAGGAGACAGTTGACATTCAATGAGCCAAAGAGGAGCTGGTATGAGGAAACACTAGTACCTTGCAAAAGAAATACGTAGATAAAGCAGTAGGTAATAGAGCTTTCATTTGTACAAGAAAAAAATACACTAGGCTAATTCAAAGGATCTTTCTGGTAGAAAATGGCATTTTGACAAAAACATTGCTGATTTTGTTGAAATTCCCCAAATTGACTGTTTTCATTGTAAATGGGTTTTGCCTATTATATAAGAGGGTTTGGGTTGTTTTTTTTTTTGAAAGTGACAACTTCATTTAGAAAATGTAATAGCACATTATTTTTATATATTTTAAAATGTAATTCACTTGAAACATCAGCTGCATAAAACAAAGAAGTACTTTAAAAACGCTGTGAAACATTTTGGTATCTACATTTCACTGTGAAACAAGGGAGCAGGAGAGATCATACTGGTAATTTTAAACAAATTTTGACATCTAATTTGGGAGGCTAATTCCCTAGGCTAATTCCCTAGGCTTCCCATGTAGTTAGGGACCAGGAGAAGCTACGTGGTCAGTCTTCTGCAGAAGTCACAGCCTCTCTTCCAAGACTGTACTGCTAACTGAAGGGTATTAACAATATAATTTTGTCATATAATCTAAGTGCTTTAAGTTAAGCTCACCTAAAGTACAAGACTCTTTTTCAACATGCTTAAATCAAAACATAACAAAATTTTTGTGGTAGTACTTTAGAATATAGCTGGTTATGTCCCAGTCTGTAAGTGTCAAAAATGCCAGATTATTGTTGCCATTAATTTGTAATTTTCAAACACCTTTCTAGCTCATGGTTTCTGGGAATTGACTTATTTTGGGGAAGCAAAGCTATATTAGCCAATGTGTTTAAACAGCGTAAGCACTGAACAAAATAAGGAAATTAAGATTTTTTTTTCTGTAGAAGTGTCAATAATACCAGATGGCATTAATTTGTAATTTTCAAACACCTTTCTAGCTCACAGTTTCTGGGAATTGACTTATTTGGGGGAAGCCAAGCTATTCTAGCCAATGTGTTTAAACAGTGTAAGCACAGAACAAAATAAGGAAATTAAGATTTTTTTCTGTAGGCAGAGCAATTATATTAGCTGGTTTCTGGGAATTGACTTATTTTGGGGAAGCAAAGCTATATTAGCCAATGTGTTTAAACAGCGTAAGCACTGAACAAAATAAGGAAATTAAGATTTTTTTTTCTGTAGGCAGAGCAATTATATTAGCATCTTATGTTGTTAATTGTTTCCAACAGTGCACTGCTGAAATATCAAAGCCTGACCCTACAGATGGGACTGATGTCCCTGTGGAAGAGAAGCCAGTGCAGAAGAACCCAGTAAAGGAGAACATTTATATGTCAATGAAATCACTGTAAGTAACAACTTCATTAAGGTTTTGCAAATTGAAAGTGACATGGTGGTACAGATAGAGCTGTCATCTGTAGTTGACAGTGCTATCTGTCAATATCGCTATTTACATAACAACAGCTAGAAGCTGCGTCTTGTTTGAATGAGTATTTCTTTGGTCTTAGTTCAGAAAGTTCAGACCTCGTGGGAATATCAGAGTGAAATTCAAACTCATCAGCATGAAATTTAAACACATTGCAACTCATGCATTTAGACAAGCTCTGACTATAGGGTGCAGCACTTTTTGTTGATTCATACTCTTTCTAGGTTTTCACGACATAACAGCCCATCACTTTACTCAGATACCACAGCCAAGCTCCAGCAACCTTTCAGACAAGTACTTTCCAAAGCAGGCAGCATTATCTAGTGGTTAAAAGAGAAAGGTAGATATGGGGCTCCCAGCCTTTCCAGTAAGAAGTTATGTGATGTTGAGTGATCTCCATCCTTCCATTTTCCCATCCAAAGAATGGGTCTGATGCTGTGTACTTTGAAGGCACAGTGTTGGGCATGTCACAAAGAAAGACCTGAACTTTGTGTCACTGTTGTAGTGCCACAAGGAAGCTTTACAACCTCCACAATATAGCACAGTATACTGAAGTGTGCCTACACGGTGAAACCATACCTCCTGAGCCAGAGGACTGGTCATTAGCTGTTCGCTATGGCCTGCCACCTACAGACAGTCAGGTGTTATGCCACATAGTGGGAGGCAGTTGGAAATGCAGACCCACAAACCAGTTTATTCCAATAGATTTATTCAAGCTTCTCTGTGTCGTTGGGAGCCCCTGGAAGGAATTACTACAAAAACCTCACAATTCTATGCCATCTCAGTTAAAATATACTAAGAGCAGCTTTTGCTACTAACACTAGACGTGTTTGGGACATGGAGAGGAGTTGTCTTCAGGCATTATAAGACTCATCAAATAAACTTAAAATGCATTCAAGCACATCTCAGTTGTTGTATCTCCCAGAGGACAGCATTACATCGCTGCAGAAGCCAGTACAGGCAAGGCCAACAATTTGTACTCAGTTTCTTTGTCAAGGCATGTTGTTAGCTGGAATGTTTTCAGGCTTAATAAATAATCTTTAAATACTGAAGAGGTTTATTTTGGGATTTATGGTCCATTTTTAGAAGGACTGTTTATTTTACTTAGCTGCAACTTTGTCCACTGGATATTCTACAAGAACTTGTTATTCTTTACTTCACTGATGGCTATTTGATCCAGCTTCAAACACAGTAAGAGTGCCTGGAATGGTCAAACCAGTTTGGTTTTTATCTGCCATTCCTCTTCAGTAGGTTGCTGGAGGAGAGTTCCCAGCTCACATGCAGAAGTGATGAGCTCCCATCTCCTCCCAAACGCCAGGACAACAGTTCATGTCCAAGAGACCTGGAAGCAAACAGAGAGCTAAACTTCCCAGAAAGTGGCACCAGCCAGCAGCCAACCGTCCAGAGAAGGCAAAATTCATTACCACTTTCAGTGGTTCAGTTGTCTATACTGCTCAGGTAAGTGTCTTCTCCATTTTTGTTGTGGAGAAAGCAGATGTCTTCATGGGTTTCAGCTGGTAGAGCATGCCACGCCTGTCAGGGTTGAAGGAGCATCTGGATGACACTCTTAGTTGTATGATTTAGTTTTATGTAGTCCTGCAAGGAGCAAGGAGTTGGACTCAATCATCCTTGTGCATCCATTCCAACTTGAGATATTCTATGGTCTCTGATGTTTTCTCTTACAGTCAAGTTACAGATGAGACCCAACTGCAGAAGTTGGATATTTTCGTCCCCCTGGCTGATATTAACAGTTACCTAAAACTTACTGAAGCAGCAGGACAAATATGGTAAGTTCTGGATGTCTTGTGACAGTGCCTGTCAGATGTGAATGAGCAGAGGTACAGAAGTGTGCAGTCATGCACATCCATGTGCAGTTCTGGCAGTGCAGAACAAGGCAGGGTCAGTGTGTGCTGGTACTTCAGTGTTTCCTTTCTTCTCTTTCTGACTCTTCATGTACTTGAATTTCTATTTCAACTGCTGTTGAAAAGGACTATGTAAAATCAGGATCCCTCAGCATACTGTGTAATAATTAATGATGAAGTTACACCCCAAAAGCTATTCTTCTAATGTTGGTGTGAATCACCTAATTACTTCTAGTCAGTTTTACCTTTGATTTGGTGAACCACAATGATGGCATATCTCAGAGATATAGTGAGGGGATGTATCCTGTGATAGGGTAGACAGGGCCTCAAGCTGACTTGAGCTGAATGTGAGCACAAAATTCTCCCTGAATTAATCCCAGCAGTAGTTAAGTGCTAGGAATGAGTGCTAGGCAGAGATTTTCAGAAGCAGGTATTATGGGCTAGAGCACATACATCCTCTTGGTAGTCCTTTTGGAAATTAGTAGTCTCCCTAGACCTTCAGTATCAATGACTAGGATAAAGAGGATGGAGCAGAAAAAATACTCAATGCATACTCCTGTGCTTCCTGTTGATCTTTCACTGCCACACAGCACTGAGACTGCTTTTTGCTGCTGCTCTCATATTCACACCAATCAGGTGCACTGTGTACACAGCAAGTCACTTTGTTTCAGCCCCTGTCAGCAAGAAGGAAAAATATCATTGCAAAAGGTGCTGGAAATGGGACCCCACCTCAGTAATTGGATCTACATCTAAATTTACAGAGCTTTCTCAGTGAAAATTCATGCTGAATGAATTTGGGGCTTGTTCTAGAAGGGAACAGAGCTTTAGGTCTGACTGTCAGGTCAGCTAATCCTAAAGAGATTTTAATCAAGAAGAGTCTATCAGAGACCAGCAGGACAGAGATACTGGACTTTACATAAGAGTCCCGTCAGGACAGCAGTGGATCTCTGATTCTTGCAGTTATATCATAGATAAAGCACATGATAAGTTCTCATTTCATTCTTTTGGGATGACTTCAGAAATCAATCTCAGAAATTATCCTCAGTCAAACATCAGGCTAAAACATCTACTGAGAATCTGGCCTGCTGCTTTTGGACTGGAATCTCCAACTTTCACTGGTGACCTTGCTAGCACCAGTCTCACTTGTTAACATGCTGCCATATCGGTGTCATGTGCTCTTCTAGGAGGACCCATTGGGAGGGGATGAAGCAGCTTGGTTTCAGCTAGAACCAGATTGAAAATTTGCAAAGTCATTCAACCTTTGTGTTATTTCCAGAGGGCAGTACCCTCCATACAATCCTGTTCACCCATTGCTATTCTGTTAACGGTGACTGCATATCCTGTATGTTTCCCTTATTGCCTCTCCTCCAAATACCCTAGCATCTCACAGTGGACTGGTCCCTGCCGACTGGGATGTCTGTTTAACCACGGAGACCATATAGTGGCTGTGAATGATCTGCAACCCCAGGATGTGGAGGAGGCTTACTTCTTCATCAGCAGATCCACAAGAAAGGAGGTAAGCTTGATCAATCTGAAGGTGATAGTCAAATGAATCAACCCAAATGAGAAAGCAAGTTGCTTTTTGCATTCCAGATGGCTTCATTCAAACCAGCTTACTCTATTTTAAGTTTGGCTTTAATAACTCCAGTACCAAATAGCTCCTCACCATCATTCTGATGTAGCATCTCTTTTTCCTGGGCTGTTTAGGGAATGCAAGGTCAGCACTGCTGTGTTTGAGGACGTGGTCTCAAAGTGTCTGCACAACCCCAGGAGATACTACTGGGCAACTGTAAATTAGACTTACTTGGTATTTTTTGGCTAAGGCCTGTGAATTTCAAACTTTGGGATATAAATGATTGTCTCCAGTGGATGTGTAGTTGCTTATAGTGGTTTTGAGTACTGAGGGCAGAGCCCTAGACTCCTACCTCCTATTGGTTATCAAGCACTACCCATCTCCTTGTGTGATACCACTTTTTTTGAAGAATGTGGGAGATTTCTAAGTGGTGCCTTAACACCACTGTGATCTACTACATGTAGATACCTATGTTGCTCTCAGAAAGACTCATACTCCAGTATCCAGTTTCTATGACCATGCTTAAACACATTCATATTTGAATTTTGCTGAGAAAGTTGAGGTCATCAGGTGCTGTTGCCATCTAAAGAAAAGAAAGCCAGTCTCTGCAAGGAAAAAAATATTCATCTCTTTTAATAGGGTATTTTTATTTAGCTAGTTAAAATACAAGTCAGATAGTAGCACAAATGTTGATCAGATATAACAAGCTATAAAAATGTCACTTCTTTTTTTTTTTAAGGTGAAGCTTACAGTATGTAGGATTCCACACTCACATATCTTCCATGTTAAAGGCTGCTCATGTTCCTGAAAAAAAAAAAGACCTCAATGATTAAGTAAGTACCAAAGTTCAGGGGAAAAGATTAGGGACAAGAATGTGATATATATTGTATGGAGGTAATCTTTCTCCTTTAGAACTGCCAGACCTCTTTTGTTGCTGAAGTACAAAGAACAGAGAATGTGGATTTCATTTTCCTTTAATGTCCTAATAACTTGTTTTGTTGACATGAATGGCATGTGTTTGGCTTGTAGTTCATGTTGCCATGTACTTCAGTTATATGTAAAAAACTGAGGGCCCAATCATTTAGGAAACCTTTGCACTGTGTATACTTTGTACTTTAGCAGAAGTACTGGTTCACACCTCTGCTTGCCTCTTTATACTGTTACATTGATTTATACTCAACTCCTAATCAGTTAGAGGTGTGGAAACAACCTACATTTGGAACAAAGGCATGTTTTCCCTTGTTTCCCCTTAGCTACAGAAAGGCAAAAGCAAGTTGAGAGATGTAGTGCTGGACGGAAGGACAAAATAAAATAAGTGTTGTGTAGTGATTCCGTGGGGCCTCCTTTTGTGTTATGCTCCTCTTACATTACAGCCACAAAAATACATTCAAGGGATGACAGGAAAAAGAGCTGGTTAGAGAAAAGGAATGTGTCTGGAGCACCTTTGGGTTCAATGGCAGCGGAAATAAGCCCTGAGTGGAGAATGAGTGAATGGATTTGTGAGAGCAAAGGACTGGTCTGCTCTGTGTCCCTCAAGGGTCAGTACTAGGACCAGT